TTGGATGAAGCGTATAACTTTGGTGCACCTTATTATGTCTCTTGCATACCTCAAGAAAGAAAGAAAAAAAAAAGAAAGAAAGAAGGAAATGAAAGGAAAGAAAGAAGGAAGATACGAGGAGTATGCCTCATGCCCTCATGCATGAGGTGTATGCCTCAAACACCTTTTACTTGAGGTGTATTGCCTTTGGTCTGCCTTTTGCATGAGGTGCACAGCTTGGTATGCCTCATGTGCACACCTGGGCCCAGGCTTAGCCTGGCTCACAAATATATTTATATGTCGCAATTTCTATGTTGCCGGAAGGGTATGGTACTGGAAGAACTTTGACCAATCAGAACCTTTTTCTTTAAGTTATGTTTATGACTTATGTAGTAGGTAGTGGGCTTTAGTTATGGGCCTGTTTTTTTTTTTTTTGTTTTTTTTCTGTCTTTAGTGATGGGTGCCTTACTAAGGGCATTCATGTAATTGTCTTTATTTTTTACAACAGAAGAATAAAAGAGATCATTGGGGGGCTCATGAGAGGTTTGGAACTCTCTTTCCTTCCTTTTCTTCCATCTTCTTCCTCCTTTACTTTTATCTCTCCCATCTTTTTCAATCTTCTTCTTCTTCTCTTCTGTTTTTCTTTTCTTTATTTCAGATTATTGCAAGTGTGTTTCACAACTATTAGTTACCACTTTTTTTTTTGATAAAATAAAATAAAAATTTTATTAAAAGAAAACAAAAATACAATCTGAGAAGGTGTTGAGGCAACACCTTGATTAATTCAAACACAATGCAAACAAAATAAAACTAAACAACACTAATTTTCCAAATTACAACTTGAAAACCCAAACGCTTTCCAAAGACCATCCCCAATGCCTCCTTTCTTGATTTGAGCAACATCAATTATCACAACCCTGAATCAAAGATCTCCAGTATTGTATCTTGCAGCTGCACCATATCTGGAACTAAACTTACTCATCACTCTCTTTACTAAAACCTTTCTTCATCCATGTCTCAGACCCTTGATCATAACAAGACAGCAATCTCCTTTCGGAATTCAACCTCTGGCACCTTTCTTTTCTTTTACTTCTAATAGCCCCGTCACTCTTCTTCTACTATATCATCTTCCCTTTCTTCTCCTTCCTCCCGCTCTCTCCCCTCCTGCAAGACCTTTTTCTTGTTTCTTTCTTATCTCCTGCTCCTTTTGAACTGTTCAATTGCCCTCTTTACCACTATCTCCTCTCCTAAGAAAAATAAACCAAGTGATTTTCCCACCTCCACTTGTCTTTCCACTAGCTTCTCAATATCTACCCTTTTCTCCTAGATCCCTCCTCCTTTGAAACCTTCACCCCCTCAAGACCCTTGGCAATCACTCCTTCCTCCCTTAACTCCACTTCCAAGATCTGCCCCCCCTTTCACCCTCCACTTCTTCATTTTCCTGAAATATAATTCTTCTCTTTCTATTATAGAACTACTATTGCTTCTTGCTTCTTTTTTTCACGTTAGAAAGTTTTCTCATGACTTTGTCTCCCCTCCCTAACTTTTCTTCATCGCTGAAACCCTGTTTCTCCATTTCCTTGTTACATCATCCACTGCTTTTGAAGAAAAAAAAAAAAGTTCTAACTCACCTCAGTATTTAGGCTAGCAACAACCTCTATAGTTCTTGACCCAATCAGTCCATTCACTGAGCTTTCTTATGCCGCACCGGAGACGTCCTCAACCTCAATCAGGATTCTTGCCTCATCCTACTTCTCCCAAGACCTGTTCTTATCATCCTACTTCTCCCAATAGCTATTACCTATTTCTTCAAAGGAGGATACTCAACACATGCAAGGGGATGCCGATTACCCCAATCCACACTTCCCATCTCCATTGAACTTCAGACATTTCTCCTGCTGCTGGGAACCACCAATCAAGCCTCCGGTCAAGGCATCTCTTTTTTGTTTTCTCATTTTCCAAAGCCCACCCTACTCCTTGCCTATTGTGTAACATGAAGAGCAGCGGACATCCATTTAGCTTTCTCTCCCCCATAACCCATTCCTTTCCCCACTCACCTCCATTTCTCTCCTAGCTACTCTACCAACCAGGCTTTCATACGTCACCCTCATTCTTTATTCCAACTTGCTGATCCCCTGACATCATCGTTCACCACCACCTCCATCTCAGACTCTATGGAATTTGGGGAGTGGGATTACGGCTTGCATGCTCCCTAAGGCACTTTGGATAAGAGTCACCTTGCCTCCTATTAGTTACCACTTCCTATGATACCAGTTGATTGGTTATCAGTGTTTTAGGGTGTCATGCCTTTTTGGTCCAGCCGCACACACACACACACACACACATATATACACACACACACACACATATATATATATATATATATATATATATATGGCTGTAACCCTTGTTTAGATGTGCTAATCCCACTTTGGTCCGGCCCAGAACCACCCCTAAATCAAGTTAATGGTTGAACATTCATTCTCCTCATTTCATCATTCCTAGTTGTCAAGGACTCAAGGCACTATGTTATGTCTAGGTGACAGGGGAGTTCCTTGTTGCCTGGTCTATGACAGGGGAGTGCCTTATTTCTTATGGAATTAGTTTGTTTTTCTAGTTAATATTATTAGGTTGAAACATTAATAGTGGCTAAGGCATGGATGGCGATCTAACATGAAACATTAATAGTGATCTAGCATGAAAGAATCAAACATTAAACGAAGAATTAAAACAATATTAGAAAGCTTGTAGGAAAAGGGAACCAGGGCGTGGAGCTCTATTTTATTAATGCAGTAGGTGATTTCAAAGATTGATGGTGATTACAAAGGATTAAAGAAAAATAAGCTTTTAAGACCACTGAAAGGAAGTCAGCAAAGTTCCGGGCTCATCTGGTATAGGAGGTGTTTTCAGAGATAATGAAGGCATGATAATGGCTCTGTATTCAGGTCCAGTAGGAGTTGGAGATTCCTTAAGAGTGGAAATCTTGGCACTACATCAAGGTGTAAAACTGGCCAAACAATTGGGGCTACAGCAGATTGAGATAGAGGGAGACTCCAAGTTGGTAATTGGGTGGATGCAATCAGGGCAGCTGGGATTTGGCAATATAGACAGGTGATAAGGGAAATTCTTAGCATAACAAGGGAGGTGGGTGTTTGTTTCAAGTGGGTAAGGAGATCAGCAAATGGTTTTGCTGACGCCCTAGCAAAACAAGGGACTGTATGGGAGAGACTTTATTGGGCAGTGCTTTAATGTTTGATGTTTATTGGATGAACCTTTTCTAATATGGGTTGACTTCTGTATTTCTGTTTAATTTATCTCTAATGAAAGTTATCGTTTCTGATTAAAGAAAACATCTTTCAAACCTTGTTTTTGTTTCCACTCAAGAAGAGGAGAAGATTCTAAGATGTACTAGAGCAGACATCTTTCGTTGGTTTAGGAAAAAATGCTAGATTTCAAAGAGACAAAAAAAAGAAGAATTTTCAGTGATTACTGACAGACAAAGGAAGCTGTGATTGAGAAGAATAGTATCAAGGTTGCACATTAGGTAAAAAGTAAAAGCTTGTAGATCTTCACCCCTTTTTTATTGAGTACATCATGAGAGGCTGGCAAATTATTGTGAACTGTGTGTTTAGGGTGTGGACCCCCATCCAATGTAATCAAATTTAATTTTGATGGCTGTAGTTTGGGGAATCTAGGAATGTCAGATATAGGTGAAGTTTTGAAAGACAACAATGAGCATGCATTAGCCATATGCTTTGGGCTGTAGGAGTGGGCAACTCAATAAGGGAAGAACTATTATCTCTATTACAAGGTCTGATATTGGGAAGGTCCCTCCACTTAGCAACTTCTGGTAGGTGGCTCCATAGTGGTTATAGTGGTGGTGGCTTCAAAACATCCTAGGTCATTCACAACATCACCATATGAAAAGTAAAGCAGCTTGCTGAAAGATTAGGTACGACCTTCCATTGGTGTCTACAATCAACTAATAGATAGGCTAGCTGATGAAGTAGCCAAACAACAAGCAGAAAGGGTTCATCTCTTTTGGGAAAATATCCCATGGGGTTTTGGCTGTTAAATGGGAAGGGATGTAAAAGATGAGATTTGGGATAGACGACCAAAACCCCATGGGATATTGATAAGGACGGGTTTTATTGAAAATATATAATTCTATATAGAGGAATTGATAAGGACGGGTTTTATTGATTACCTACCTTGGTGGGATAGGCCAACTTATAGGGGTCCCATGTGCTTTGGTAATTTTGATTGTTTGGTTCTGTGGCCTGGTTTCAATTCTGTGTTTTAAAAGCGGCCAATTTTTGCCTGAGGCGTGCGCCTTTTTGAAGCAAGGCACAAAAATGCAAAAAAATGCTAAAAAATCAAATGAAAATACATATTTTAAAAAACCTATTATCTAAAATTAAAATACATAAAAATAACATGTAAAGCGCATTCAAATGAAAATTTAAAAATACATAAACATAACATTCCTGATTCTACGAGCCACCTTTGTTCCATGCTCCTCGAGGCAAGCCCAAACAAGTCCATGTTAGGGTCTTAAATTCTTAGTTCTTGCACAAAGGCAAGGCGAATACCCTAAAATGTGCCTCGCGTGTGCACCTAGGCACACCTTTTAAATCACTGTTCCAGTTAGCTTAATAATTCAAACAAGACTAACAGCTTTGAATTTACTTTTAATAATTCCTATTTTTCAGAATTTTGCATCAATTACCCAAAAAGAACAAGGGAGAATTAAAAGAATATCATAGTCCCAGGATTTCAATTACCCTGCCCTGGCAATCCATTTAGCTTTAGAACTTAAAGATTTCAGGACTACACCCCACAAAAATTGGGAAACAAGGGCTACAACCCAGAAAATATTTGCCAAAAGACTTCAAGGAGAAAGAATATAAAGGATATCATTTGCCAAAAGACACCAATCCATGTATGTGTTTTGCTACTTGAGCATTGTTAAGGTATGCATTGTGCTAATTTATGTTTCTGTTTTTCCTTTATTTGTGCAGCCAAACTGTTACTCAAGAGTAATAAGTGTCCATGGTGATGAGCATATAATAATATTTGCAAAAAGGGATATTAATCGATGGGAGGAACTGACATATGATTACAGGTTCCTACCAAGTTCTAATACTCTATTTTATGGAGCATCTTGTTTTTGGAAATACAATTCAAGATGGGGTCTGGAGCATGCCTTACTTGCCACCTGTTGTATGTTGAATGGTCAGGACTCAGCATTGAATAGGTCCCAGCTTAATTATTGGCCTAAGTCAAAAATTGGCATAACCAGATCGGAGAGAAGTTTCTCTCCGTTCTGATTAAATTCATTAATTTCAGATTGTCACAATCATCTCTGATTGCTGAATTTTGAGCCAACTAATCTACTAGGTAAGGTCCATCAATGGCAGATCCTGATCTTTGTAACATAGGCTGGAATGTTTTGCTGTCACAATCCCATCTATGGATCTTGTGTTCTCACACCCAAGATTTAATTTACATTTTGTTCAATTGTTTGTTGGTACTAAACTTTCTTGTGTTGTATCTGAAGATTCTTTTCGATTGATGAACAACTGGCCTGCTATTGTGGCTTCCCAAGATGTCGTGGCATAGTCAATGACACTGAAGCAGAGGAGCAAATGGCAAAGCTATGTGTACCTCGTAATGAATTGATCGATTGGTCGGGAGAATAAAAGTAAGCTAATACAAATTTATCTGTGTTTTTATTTTCTTGATTTTTGTTCAGTGTCTCATACAGTCTGGTCATTGTTTTTTATTTTTGGTTTGTCTGTTTACTGGTGAAAACTAGTTAACTAACACAAAATATGAGGAGGAATGATATAACAACTACAAATACAAATACTAAGCCATTGTGATGGGGGTGGGCCTTGGCGGGAGCCTCCTGCACTGGTTGCCCTTTTAAATACAAATACTAAGCCATCTGAGGTAATGACATTGCACAGTCGTGGGCCCAAATCAGAATTGTTTATTTTGTTTTTATCTAATATGAAAGCAATAGTTTTTAATATGCTTTTTTATGTTCTGTTTGTTTTAGGAAATGAAAACTTGCGTCTTGGTTAATCATGTTTTTTGAATTATATTTGTTATTTCTGCAGGTATGTATGTATGCATGTTATTTGGGCTTTCTAATTGGGTTAAGCCCAATAGAATGGCCCAAACAATATTAGAAACCACACCAGACCATTTTATTGTGGTTTGGTTTCTATACTAAAATGGTGTCTTTTCTGAGAATTTCTCAGACTGTAACTTTCTGGTGTGCTTTGAGATCTTCTCAAACCAGACCAGACCGGACCGTCAGCACCCATGGACCCTAGTAGTAGTGTCATGAGGCATGAGGTATGTGCCTCGGAGGCATCCATCTCCAGTGTTTGCTTCGTGACATTTTGTGTGTGCCTCACCTGGATGCATGTCTCTAACCGTACACTTAAAGGCCCTTTTAAGACATTGGAGGAAAGATGGAAATGCATGTGTTAGAATCTTTAATTGTTACTGTAAATGTTGAGGGATTTGTGCATATTTATTGATTAATTTGTTTAGCTAGGGAATGGGGACCAGAACACCTGTTGGGACCCTTTAGAGTGGTGTTTTTTGATAGATAATGATAATGAAAATTTTATTAAATAAAGAACTAAGTATTCATCATACAATTCCCCCCAAAGAGGCGCGAGGTGCAGTCTCCAAACTACATCATAAAGCTTACAATTGAGCCTAAAAGAGCTGATTCCTATGTACTCCTTGTTTAGCTAGAAGGTCTGCCAGCCCATTTGCCAATCTTCTTTCCCATTGAACTGTGACTGAAATATTTGAAGTCAGCCACTTAAATCTTCTCAAAGCCCCC